ATGAAAAGGGATACTGGATAAAATGGATGAATGTCTGAAGAATTATTTATTATACATAGTAAGTTAACACAACTTAAATCTGAGAGTAAACAGATCACTTACGATTCAATCGAATGAAAAATTTTGGAATATACTAGCTAGTTTCACTGACACATGCGTGATGTAAGGCTATTTATACCAGCCAATTTTTGCTTTTCCAGCTGTTATACATCATAGAAGAAAAGTATGGCGATCGGTTATAAATGACCTAGATTTTCACATTTTTGGATTGGGAGGCCTTGAATCGTCGAGAAATGCAACGAAAAAAAAAACATTTAAGTAAAACATCATAAAAAATAGTGCCACCACAATTTTGAATGTTGCAGGAATAGTTACGCAACACGTTGGTGGATTTTTCGGTAATGGTTTGGTTTGATGGTATAAGGTAATGCAATACATGAACGATTTCGCCAAGGGTGTACTTCCCAAGAGGACTTTCTGTAAGAAAATAGCCCGTACTTAGATGTTAGATCCGGAAAACACCATTTGGCCAACCTGTTGATAAAGACGAACTTGCGACTAACAACCAGTGTTCAGTATATTATCCATTTGGGGTACTTTTAAATTATACAGCCAATTATGCAGAACTAGTAAATTATAAGTTTGCTAGAGTTTTTTTACAACAAATCCACATGGACAGGTAGTATTAATAAAAGTATGAGATTAACACTGTTCTACAAATTTTAACTCATATTATACAGTAAAAATGTGCTTTCTTTTATACAGATTTTAACTCCTAAACACTCTTAAACAATATGAATTTCATTTTTCGAGATTGGATTTCATTTTCGAAAAAACATGACATTTCAATGTCTAAATTCTGTAATTCAAATACAGGAAATCCCTGTTAGTTCGAAATTCAAGGGACGAAATAATCACGACTTCGAATTATCGAGTTTCCAATTATCCTAGATTTACATATTTTTGTACATGCCAATGCTACGTAACTAATGTAATTTATAAACAAACTGAATACGGTTACGTATACAGAACGCTATTTTCGTTAATTAATAATATATATAAACTGCAGATAAAGAGCACTTATCCGATGAGAACCTTACAAGTTACCAGATAGGTTTTAGAAAAGGTATAGCAGAATCCCCCAAAATGTTGCTCAAATTATTTTTAAAGTGGTTCAATAAAGTAGTAAATCGCACAAATGAGTCCTGGAAATATCTTGCAATCCCTAACCCCAGTCAAATTTTATGAGATAGGAGAAAAAAAGGATTGACCATAGGTAACGTGATACCCGAAAATGTGTCACTGTAAAAACAAAACCATATTTACCAAATTAGAGTTGTTCTTGGTCTATTGTTCTCTTATAGCATGGAGGCATTACTATCTAAATCAATGTTTCCCAAAGTGGTTCCTACGGACCCCTGGGGTCCTTCGAACCGTTAAAAGAGGTCCGTGTCAAATTAAAATTAATTTGGGAGTACGTGGACTACGTCAGGAGACAGCGAAAGGTTTAATAAAAAGTAATAATAAATATGAGTCACATTCATTTTATTATTAAAATTAAATATTAATAAATAAATTGGTAGTCATTTTTACGTTTTACATTTATTGGTAGTCATTTATATAAGTATAGATAAGTACATAAAATACAAGTAATGACAAGCATTACATGGTGGAAGCCGGGCCGACTGCGGCCGCCTGTTTATGTATGCAATTCAGCCTTACCAGGTTTGGTTACCTTTTTTTAGTTTGGCGTAAAAAATATCATTTGGCTCATTGGCTACTTTTTGGGCTACATAAATTTGACTTGGCTACATTTTTGNCTATATTTGTTTTGTGAGGTTTCGGAAAAATATAAAAATGTTAGTTGGCGTAGAAAATATTATTTGGCGCACTTTTTTTAGGCTACATAAATTTGACTTGGCTACATTTTTGGCTACATATTTATATATATATATATATATATATATTGAAAGTGTCTGTAGAAGTTGTAGAAGTATTTATTATTATAATATAGACACCATTGATTATGATTTTGATACCATTGTCAATAAAAACTAGCGGAGCTTTGCTTAATGCACATAACCTGCCCCATATCATGATTTGTTGAGTGTTGTGAATAATGGCGCAATCTTAAGGAACCAAGTTGAACGGATAAAAAAATTTTTTATTGCGAATTCAATAAAATTTCCACCTTATAACTAACTCATAAGTACTGTAGTATACAAGACATGACAGAATATAAAAACAAAAATAAATTTTAATTAAGAAAGATTATGGAAAATTTTTTAGTGTTTTTTTTCCCCCTTTTCTTTTGGAGGGTGCCAGTGGCCCTTGGCCCCTCTGGGTTCGCTATTGGTTATGAGTGTGTGACCACTTTTGAAGCATCTGAAATAGTTTTACTCCAAATTTTGTCATTTTGATGATTATGTGTTCGGGATATTGATGCTATTACATTTTGATAGTTAAAGGTCCAGGAGATGAGGAGATACACAGGTGTCATTTGTCTTGAGAGGGGTCGGACATAATGAAGATTTTACTCATTATTAACATTTACAACTATATATATATATTATAAAACTCGACTCTATTCTCAAAATTAAGCTTTTTGACATTTTAATAATTAACAATATAAAATGTTTTAAAAATAAAATCACAGAACAGATGGAACCTCATGCAATTTTAACTTTTTGCCGGGAAAGTTACGCAACTCATTACTAGATTTTTTTTTCTTTCTTTAATTAATTTTTTAAAATAAGATGTTATAATTGTAATATAATATAGCATTATATTTTATTACTATATTATACATTAGAGCTTAAAATATTGAAAGATTTGTTTAATATTTAAAAATTTTATACGATTTTAGTTTTCAAAAATAAACATTAAATAAAAAATACAAAATAAAATTTTTATATGTTTGACTTTTATTTTGATGGAGAATTCTTGAGTAATTTTATGTACATTAAATTAAATCGTTTTTTAATAAAATATTACATAAATTTTTAGTATTTATAATTCAACAATTTATATATACAGTATATAATTCGTTCCTGTAGAGAATGACATTTTGCAAGTTTTTAATTTTAATTTTTATATATAATAATATAAATGTTTTATATATAATAAGAATATTTACAATATATAGCAATAATAAAAAATATATATTTATTTTAATTTTGCACAAACCCGTATATAATAATTCTAATTATTATAAAAAGGTATTTACATTAATTATAAATATTTTAACAATTCTTATATTATGAAACGTAAGTACACTTAGAAATTATTTAATTTAAAACTTAATTTTATTAAATTTCAATTTTTAATTTGTCTTTAAAGATTCGTTATAATTATTTAAATAAGTAAATTTGTATTAAATTTTAATGATATTTAATAAATTTATATATATTTAAGAAAGAGAAATGAGATGCTATTATACGTTAAATATGTAAAGAATTTAAATAATTTAGTTAATAAGATTTGAATTCTATATTTTAAAAATTAATTAAAGTACTTTTATAAAAATGTATAGGCCTATATACTTTTGTCTGTTCAAATTTTAATTATGATAGTGAAGAAGACAAATTATTCTCTAAATTATTTTATATAATAAGCTTTAGAGGTGGAAGAGGAGTGTTTGTTATTCATAAATTTAATTTTAATTAAACTTTGCTTCTTACGGATTACTAAGCAACAATTTAGGAAGTAATTTTAAATTAATCTGAAACTAAGATGTATATATATATATATATATACATATATATATAAATTGTCACGTTAAAATATATATTATATATTAATTTAAATTATAATGGAATAAAACCTGTTTAAAACGGGCCCTTTAACAAACGGAAAATAAATCTTGAAACATAACGCTTTTCTACGTAAAATACTATTATAAATCGGAAATTTGTTTAATCTAAACACTTTTTGGCAGCTAATTGAATGATGTAAGTTGAGAATAACTAGAATTTTTCAGCGTAACAACATTTAATTCTCTCGTTGTTAATGCTGTAACTTGTAGCTCGAAGCAAGATGGACTTCTTGATGATAAAAATTATTTTGTCATTTGTTTGTTAAGATTGTATTTTCAGTATATGGAAAGCAACTCTCTTTCTCCAACTCTCTAAAAGAGTAATTAGCATAACTTTTTATAAAACGGAAACACGCCAAAAACGGAAAATTTTGGTCAATCACGTGCCATTTTAAACAGGTTTTACTTTACTATCTTTTACAAATTGGAAGTATTTTATTACTGTAGACTTATTTATTAATAAATTTGAATAGTTGATTTTTTTTAAATTAAAAAAATTTTAAAAAATTCAAATTAATTAATTAATTAAATCACAGAAGATTTATGTTCGAAATATTCGAACTTCTTTTAATAATAATAATAATAATAATGAATGAATGAATGATTGCTATCATTTGAGTAATGTAACTGAAGTGAATTAATTCTTATTTTATTAAGTCTTAAATCTAATAAAAAAAATTAAAATTTTATCTCTAATTTTAATAATCTTTACCCATGATACGATGTTTATAAGTTATATATTATATTACATAACAACGATAAAGTTTCTTTTAGATAAAGAACTTTTAATGTAAACATAATAACATGATTATCATTATTATCCTCATTATTTGTATTCTGGTATGAGTGACAGTACAATTTCAGTAATATAATTACTGTATTATGTGAATTACAAACATACTGATTCAATCCAATTTAGCTTCTTACTCTGATTAAGCTTTAAACTTAATTAAAATTAGTATTTTATTGTTAATTTCGATAATCTTTACCCATGATGTGAGGCTTCAGATGATTCAGTATCTGGATCTAAGAGGAATCTCTGTTGCTTAGCAATAAATACTGTTCTATCATTAGGATCTCTCTTCAGTGTCACAAATGGATAACCTTTTTGTTTTGTCCAAGTATCCATTATTTCTGATATATCTAACCCCTATAAATAAANTTTAAATTAAAAAAATTTTAAAAAATTCAAATTAATTAATTAATTAAATCACAGAAGATTTATGTTCGAAATATTCGAACTTCTTTTAATAATAATAATAATAATAAACAAATAAAGTTTTATTTAATTGTGCGAAGATATAAATAGGGACAATTCACGTATTTACAATTAAACATAACATATTTTGCACTTTAAAAAAATATTATTTCTTGAAAAGATATTGTTTTCTTGGAACAATCTTGTTATGTTTTCTTCAAAATTGAAGAAATAATTGATAAAAATCGTACAAAATGTACAATATTTTGACTGAATTGTTTAAAAATATATTTCTATTTTTCTTGGCAACTAATTTGGTTTACTTCTTAACCAGTCCGTTACAGCTGCTTTGTATTTTTTTAGCCAATGGATATTGTTCAGAACGTTTGTAATGGCTTCTTGTCTTGCCCTCCTACTTGCTCTATCTCCACTTATAACTTTGAAAAATTTAATCATCTAAAAATAGCAATCGATATTTAATTAGTTTCTTCTTATAAAATGAATAGCATTTAATTTTTAAAAATCTGAACTAACCTCTTGGAGATGCTCATCTGTATCAAAGTAACTGCAAACGTGTCTTACGAGTCTTCCAAAATCAGTACTTTTTGTGGAAAATCTATTTTTAAAATATGTAAATATATAAAAGTGTTTAATAAACCATTCGTTTAATTAATTTTCTTTTCGTACCTTCCTATTAGTTCTTTCCATTTTTCTCTAATAAATTTCCAAACGTGTGGACGTGCTAGAGGATTAGCTGCCAAGTAACGCAGTACTGTATAAACATCTTGTTTTCTTATTAAAGTGCTGTTCATAGTATGATTAAGATATCTAGGGAAAAAGAAATATATAATATATTTTGTATATAAACAGTTAAATCTTATTTAATATCGTACAGAGAATAACAGAATTCTTTCTCCTTTTTTTAGTGAAGCGCACAGTTATTATTATGAAAATTTTAGTCGTTTATTCTGCAAATAATCCGGATATATTTTTTAAATGATACAGATCATTAGTTGAATTTTTAATAAATGAGTATAACCGATGCTATTGGATAAAGAATCATCAATTGCAACAATAGGCTGTAAGCACTCCTATAGTTACGTATATTTCTCTTTCATCCAATAAAAATAGCGAATTCATACAATTTTTAAAGTGTTAAAACACGCTGAATAATACCAATACCGAAAAAATTCATAAAGTCTTGTGCTTCATTAGATCTATGCTATAACAAAATCCTGTGATAGGATTTCTAAATATTATCATTTAACACTACTTATAACTTAATTTATACTAAGAAAATTTACCTTGTTATCAGATGCTCATTTTTCGTGAAAGCCAAACCGTATAATAACCTTTTACCATGCTTCGAATAACTATTTGTTAAATATTGTTGAAACATGTATTCCCATACAGTATCATTACCACCATGCCACATACCATATCGATAAATTAATGTTCGTAAATTTGGAGGTATGCTAAGGGATATACATTACAAAATTACATAATTGTGTACTTTATTTTATATTTAATTTCATTTTAATTAAAATAACTCTTTACCTATAGCCATCCATCCATAGAGATAACCGTTTAGAAGCTTCTTCTAAGCAAAGTTTATTAGCGTTATCACACGCCAAATCAATTATGTACGTTCTAAGTCGCCTAAATAATTGTAAAAATTAATTTAATTTTATNAGTTATTCACTTATTAATAATACGAAAATTAATTTAAAAGATATTTTTATTTATATCATGCATTAGTTTAATTTGTGTATATTCTTTTTTATGGTACTGTAATTAAAATAGATATTTTTAAGTATTATGTGAGCATTCCTAACTTTCTATGGAACTATTAGCATAATCAGCATAAAAAATTACTGTTATAGTAATATAGTATACTACTGTATACGTTAATAAAAGCATATTATGCTCATATAAAAAGTAATTTTTGTGTAGAGTATGTATTATGTTTCTATTCAACATTTAATCTTCTAAAAAAGGTTGGTTGTTGGTTAATAGGAGTTTCTATAGAAAAAAAAAATGTAAATTTCTAGTGAAACATAGCAGTTAAATAATAGTAAATTATAAATTAGCACATTTCACGTGTAATTATAAAGTTATTCGCTGTCAAAAAATTAGCATAACACATTGACAGTAAGTAGTTAGCAACATACTGTAATTGCAATGAATGGATTTATCATTATTATTGTTAGAAGATTGGGAGTTGAATAGTAGAAGTCTCAATACAAGTCTCAATAGACTAGTAAAAGTCTGTATAAAAGATGAATGTTGAACAATAAGTTGAATATTGAATGGAAGTTTCTATAGAAGACATGTTAAGATTAGTACTTTATAAATTATGATTAACAATTATGTGCTGATTTACAAATTAATAATGCATAAATTAACATACTATATTGATAACAATTATCAATATATTGTAATTTCAATGAAGGATTTATCAATAAATTGCATAATTTTTCCACAATTATAACATTATTAATGTTGGAAGATTGGAAGTAGAATAGTAGAAATGCTCTATATAAAGCATGTTATTAGTTTACAATGAGCATAAAAAAACATTAATAGTGGTAATTTATAAATAATAATTTTGAATCAGCACATTTTACACACAATTGTTTAGTTAATAGTCCTCAAATTAATATAATATATTGATTATAGTCAGTAACATACTGTAGTTGCAATGAATGGATTATGGACAAATTGCATAATTTTTCCACAATTATAACATTATTAATGTTGGAAGATTGGAAGTAGAATAGTAGAAATGCTCAAAGACATCCACTAGGCAAATTTAATTATGCATAAAGAATAAAATATATTATTCTAGCTTTATTAAAGTGCTATTAAGTGATTTTTTTATGTTTCTTGTAAGATTTTAATGCAGAAATTAATGTAANTTAATAACAATTAGCAGATAATAAATTCAATACATTACCATAAACATTATAAACTTTAAGTGTTTTAATATTTTTATAACGCTATTTTATTTTATTTTATAGTTATAAAAGTATAAATTTGAATTTTATCTATCGAAATAGAGTCACGAAAATACTGATACGAAAAGTAATGTAGAATTTATGTATTTCTAGGAATTTCAAATACGTTTCAATAAAATATTATATTATATACAATTATAATAATACATTTGACTATTTTAAAACTATCATAATATACTTAAGTTATTTTATTAAGCACAGTACAAATAATATATTTTAATGTTTAAAAATTATTGTAATATATTTAAATATACTTATATATTATAGAGATAGAAATTGGTATTTTTATAAATAATATAAAGTCACAAATGTGACTTTACTCCGAAAATAATAAAAATATATAAATAAAACTGAATAAAATAAACACAGACAATTTTTTTCCATCAATATCAAGAGAAATTTTAATTTAATTTATATTTATAGTATTTTTTAAAAAAGAAACTACTAAATTTAGAGACTCTCCGTCTGGGATCCAAGCCAAGTGACCTGCTGATAATATACATATATATAGGCCTATATATATATATAAATTGTATATTATCAGAAATATATCTTATAAGAGGAATGTATATATATACATTATTAAATTATATAATTTTATATTACTGAATTAAATATTAATTATTAATACAGTGAAAAATGACATATAATTCTTTTGAAAGCCAACATTCTAAAACAAAGCTTTTTATGGTACAAAACATATTCCAGTTTTGAACAAGTTTCATATCGATTCTTTTATGCTTTTTAAAGAAATTAATTTTAAAAAATCGAGATTTTTACGCAATAAGAGATTTTTCATTAATTTTAAAAGGTGTTGATGTCTAGTTCCATACACTTGTAAAAGTTAAAATAAAACAAATAATTAAATAAATATTTTTAAAATTATATCACAAATAATGAATAAAGTTAAAAAACCAAAATAACCAAGAGAAAAAGTAAAAAAGTAACGAAAAATATACATATTTACTTTCACTTTTCACTAGTATTAATTATTTGTAATAACAAACAAATAAATAATAAATGATGAAATAAATTCCCCTTTTTTTATATTAGAAATAAGTGTATCACTCCTATGGGAGTATAACACTAAGGATACATAAACAAAATAAATGATTCAAAGTAAACATAAAATTAGAAATTCGGCTTTTAGTGAAAACTAGAAAGTAAAAAACTACAAATTACAAATTATAAATAGTCTTTTCTTCCATATTTTTTGAACATAATTGTAAAAGGCATCAAACAGTGGCTTCTGAACAAGCTTATCCAGTGGATATGGCCACCTGAAACCTTGCGTAAAGATTTATAATTTCAGAATAAGTCTATCTTGATCGTAAATTGGACAATGATAGATCATATGGTCAACGGTATCAAGGTTTACTGTAGAGAAAAAGCAAAAAGCAGTTTCTGCCCGGTTATACATCGCCAAGTAGCTTCGAAAATTACTATGCTCAGTAAGTAGTTGAACAGTAGCAAACGTTAAATCTCTAAGTGGTGAAGAGAATCTGCAATCAACACTAGGAAAATAAAGTCTTGTTATTCTACCAGTTTTACTGCTCAACCATTGTTGGTTCCACTTCTGCATAACGTTGACACGAATATAATTTTTAAGGTTGCTGCGTGAGAGAGGGATGATAGTATAGTCCAAGTCAGTGTTCTTTGTAGCTGACTTAATCTCAAAGTTGGCTTTTTCATTTCCTAGTATGCCAGTATGGCCAGGAACAAAAATAAAAGTTATCTTATTAACGCGATTTTTAATATGGTGTTGGATATATGTGATTTTGTTGCTATTGCAATTGGGATTTAATAGGGCTTTTAGGACAGACTGAGAGTCACTGTAAATGTTGATAGAAAGAGTTTTGTTAGTAGTGAAGTTGCCACTGAACAGCTTGGCACCCAAGCATTATCAACGAGCTCTCTCAACTAGATAAATTCCCTTATAAGAAATGAAATGAGTGATTAGTAATAAAACAGATATAAATAATGAAACTAGACAGGTAATGAAACCAACAAAAAATAAATTTTATAATGCTTAATTTTGTTATTTGTTTCATATTTTATTTAGGACTTCATTTTGTAAGTTATCATTTTATTTTGTATTTGTATTCGTTTATATTATTATTTATTATTTATTTCATTAATTGTATTACATATTTAAGGACATTTAATTGGGATGCAATTTGAAAAAATTTATAAACCTAAAATTTCCCCACTGACGACTGTCTATCCGTCCGTCTGTCCGTCCGGCCGTCGTTCCATAATCTCGAGAACGGAATTATAAAAATGTAAGAGGAAACCAGATATGGAAACACTAGGGGCAGAAAGCCCCAACTAACTATATATAACTTCCAATGCAATTCGAACTTATGTTATTTGAATTCAAAAATTTTCCCCTGAAAGATGTTAGATAGATGACCGGCACGACTGTACTGTTAATGGAAAAGTATGATGTACAGGGGCAAGTCACTACTAATTTGAGGTGTAGATAATATATTTTAAATTAAATAAATTAGAAATATGATTAAAAATTGCAACCCGGCATTGTGATGATGTCACAATAAATAATTGTTCATTCGTTCGTAATTTAATTTTTATTTACTTTCTATTACTAAAAATAATAAAATTAATGTCTTTAAACATATATAAAAATATATATATACATATTTATAAATGAAATTTTATTATTTTGAATGAACCTCGGATAAATAAAAGAGATTTACAAAATTAATTCTGATTTAAATTTATTTGGGTTAAGCTTCTCTAAAAAAAATCAATACTTGAATGCTAAAATGTTTCATTTAATCGATTAATAAATTACTATTTTATTATATTTGAATAATTTGATGTCATTATTATTATTATTATTGTTGTTATGAAAGTAATTTAATTAGTTCTTTATTAAAAAGACAAAATAATTTCATATTTTGTAATTAGAAATAGGATATTAAAATTAAAAAAAGTAATTATAAGTCGAACTAATGATGTAAAATAAAATCTTATAATATAATAATATATTTAATACCTTAATCCTATTAACAATAATTATCCATTATTTTCCTGTTTTATTTTATAAATTATTTTAAAAGTAACTTATAAATATGTTATATACACATTTATGTATGTATAGGGGAGACCGGGGCAACTTCGGCATGCGGGGCAAGTTTGTCAAGCGCTTTTTTTTAAAAAACAAATTAAAAGGAGACTTTGGTTATAGGTTAGGCAGTTGAGTTTCATTGGTGGCTTGTTGAGTGTAGTGTTTTTATTGTTCTCCAACAAGCGTAGTTGAATTATCAAGCAAATTTTCATTTTCGTTCAATTCCATATAATATTTTTTTTCCATTTATATTGAATTGGCAGGTTTTGTTATAATTCCATGATAACGAAAGTTACTTTT